AAGTATGAGCTCATGATGCTTCACGAGCCCAGGACCTCCACTCTGTGGGGTGACAGATCCTTTGCGGCAGCGTCAACCCGAGTGTGGAACCAACTCCCTCTGGCTATCAAATCATCTCCATCCATCACAACATTTAAGACAAAAATAAAATCTCACCTGTACAAACAAGCTTACTCTCACAACACACAATCTTAACTTGACTTTCTCCTCGAGCGCCATGAGCGCCTATTTTTGGCGGATACCGGCGCTTTACAAATGTTCTTTTATTATTATTAGTTCGTGTCGCGGGCGCTTGCAGGCATTGCTGTTAGACTGACTGCACATAGGGGTACTACTAGCATTGATGCGCTATATCTTAAATTTTCTCCGCCACCACTGGGTTTCAAGACCTGTCCTTTTGCCACCTGGTTTGCCTTATCACAAGCTTCCGAACAAGGTATAGTTTGTGCAGAACTTCCCAGGTTAAGGTACCTTTACACCGCGATATACGAAGTTCGTGTTGCAGGCGCTTGCAGGCATTGCTGTTAGACTTACTGCACATAGGGGTACTACTGGCATTGATGCGCTATATCTTAAATTTTCTTCGCCACCACTGGGTTTCAAGACCTGTTCTTTTGCCAACTTGTTGGCCTCATCACAACCTTCCGAACAAGGTATAGTTTGTGCAGAACTTCTCTGGTTGAGGTACCTTTTGACGGCGATATACGAAGTTCGTGTCGCGGGCGCTTGCAGGCATTGCTGTTAGACTGACTGCACATATGGTTACTACTAGCATTGATGCGCTATATCTTAAATTTTCTCCGCCACCACTGGGTTTCAAGACGTGTCCTTTCGCCAGCTTGTTGGCCTTATCACAAGCTTCGGAACAAGGTACAGTTTGTGCAGAACTTCCCAGGTTAAGGTACCTTTAGGCCGCGATATACGAAGTTCGTGTTGCGGGCGCTTGCAGGCATTGCTGTTAGACTGACTGCACATAGGGGTACTACTAGCATTGATGCGCTATATCTTAAATTTTCTCCGCCACCACTGGGTTTCAAGACCTGTCCTTTTGCCACCTGGTTTGCCTCATCACAAGCTTCCGAACAAGGTATAGTTTGTGCAGAACTTCCCAGGTTAAGGTACCTTTACACCGCGATATACGAAGTTCGTGTTGCAGGCGCTTGCAGGCATTGCTGTTAGACTTACTGCACATAGGGTACTACTGGCATTGATGCGCTATATCTTAAATTTTCTTCACCACCACTGGGTTTCAAGACCTGTTCTTTTGCCAACTTGTTGGCCTCATCACAACCTTCCGAACAAGGTATAGTTTGTGCAGAACTTCTCTGGTTGAGGTACCTTTTGATGGCGATATACGAAGTTCGTGTCGCGGGCGCTTGCAGGCATTGCTGTTAGACTGACTGCACATAGGGGTACTACTGGCATTGATGCGCTATATCTTAAATTTTCTCCGCCATCACTGGGTTTCAAGTCCTGTCCTTTTGCCAGCTTGTTGGCCTCATCACAAGCTTCTGAACAAGGTATAGTTTGTGCAGAACTTCCCAGTTTAAGGTACCTTTAGACCGCGATATACGAAGTTCGTGTCGCGGGCGCTTGCAGGCATTGCTGTTAGACTGGCTGCACATATGTGTACTACTGGCACAAATGGGCTATATCTTAAATTTTCTCCGCAACCAATGGGTTTCAAGACCTGTCCTTTCACAAGCTTCGGAACAAGGTATAGTTTGTGCAGTACTTCTCTGGTTGAGGTACCTTCAGACGGCGATATACAAAGTTCGTGTCGCGGGCGCTTGCAGGCATTGCTGTTAGACTGACTGCACATAGGGGTACTACTGGCATTGATGCGCTATATCTTGAATTTTCTCCTCAACCACTTAGTTTCAAGACCTGTCCATTTTCCAGCTTGTTGGCCTTATCACAACCTTCCGAACAAGGTATAGTTTGTGCAGAACTTCCCAGGTTAAGGTACCTTTAGACCGCGAAATACGAAGTTCATGTTGCGGGCGTTTGCAGGCGTTGCTGGTAGACTGACTGCACATAGGGGTACTACTGGCAATGATGCGCTTTATCTTAAATTTTCTCCGCCACCACTTGGTTTGAAGACCTGTCCTTTTGCCAACTTGTTTGCCTTATCACAAGCTTCCGAACAAGGTATAGTTTGTGCAGAACTTCCCAGGTTAAGGTACCTTTAGGCCGCGATATACGAAGTTCGTGTCGCGGGCGCTTGCAGGCATTGCTGTTAGACTGACTTCACATAGGGGTACTACTGGCATTGATGCGCTATATCTTAAATTTTCAGCGCAACCACTGGGTTTCAAGACGTGTCCTTTCGCCAGCTTGTTGGCCTTATCACAAGCTTCCGAACAAGGTATAGTTTGTGATAAAATTGCAAGGTTAAGGTCCCTTTAGTCCGCCATATACGAAGTTCGTGTCGCGGGCGCTTGCAGGCATTGCTGTTAGACTGACTTCCCAAATGGGTACTACTGGCATTGATGCGCTATATCTTACATTTTCTCCTCAACCGCTTGGTTTCAAGATCTGTCCTTTTGCCAGCTTGTTTGCCTCATCATAAGCTTCTGAACAATGTATAGTTTGTGCAGAACTTCCCAGGTTAAGGTACCTTTAGACCGCCATATACGAAGTTCGTGTCGCGGGCGCTTGCAGGCATTGCTGGTAGACTGACTGCACATAGGGGTACTACTGGCATTGATGCGCTATATCTTAAATTTTCTCCGCCACCACTTGGTTTCAAGACCTGTCCTTTCGCCAGCTTGTTGGCCTTATCACAAGCTTCCGAACAAGGTATAGTTTGTGCAGAACTTCCCAGGTTAAGGTACCTTTAGACCGCGATATACGAAGTTCGTGTCGCGGGCGCTTGCAGGCATTGCTGTTAGACTGACTGCACATAGGGGTACTACTGGCATTGAATTGATGCGCTATATCTTAAATTGTCTCCGCAACCACTTGGTTTCAAGACGTGTCCTTTCGCCAGCTTGTTGGCCTTATCACAAGCTTCCGAACAAGGTATAGTTTGTGCAGAACTTCCCAGGTTAAGGTACCTTTAGACCGCGATAAACGAAGTTCGTGTCGCTGGCGCTTGCAGGCATTGCTGTTAGACTGACTGCACATAGGGGTACTACTGGCATTGATGCGCTATATCTTGAATTTTCTCCTCAACCACTTGGTTTAAAGACCTGCCCATTTGCCAGCTTGTTGGCCTCATCATTAGCTTCCGAACAAGGTATAGTTCGTGCAGAACTTCCCAGGTTAAGGTACCTTTAGACCGCGATATACGAAGTTCGTGTCGCGGGAGCTTGCAGGCATTGCTGTTAGACTGACTGCACATAGGGGTACTACTGGCATTGATGCGCTATATCTTGAGTTTTCTCCGCCACCACTGTGTTTCAATTCCTGTCCTTTTGCCAGCTTGTTGGCCTCATCACAAGCTTTCGAACAAGGTATAGTTTGTGCAGAACTTCTCTGGTTGAGGTACCTTTAGACGGCGATATGCGAAGTTCGTGTCGCGGGCTCTTGCAGGCATTGCTGTTAGACTGACTGCACATAGGGGTACTACTCGCTTTGATGCGCTATATCTTAATTTTTCTCCGCAACCACTGGGTTTCAAGACCTGTCCTTTTGCCAGCTTGTTGGCCTTATCACAAGCTTCCGAACAAGGTATAGTTTGTGCAGAACTTCAAAGGGGACCTTTAGACCGCCATATACGAATTTCGTGTCTCGGGCGCTTGCAGGCATTGCTGTTAGACTGACTGCACATAGGGGTACTACTGGCATTGATGCGATATATCTTAAATTTTCACCGCAACCACTGGGTTTAAAGACCTGTCCTTTTGCCACCTTGTTTGCCTCATCACCAGCTTTCGAACAAGGTATAATTTGTGCAGAACTTCCAGGTTAAGGTACCTTTAGACCGCGATATACGAAGTTTGTGTCCCGGGCGCATGCAGGCATTGCTGTTAGACTGATTGCATATAAGGGTACTACTGGCATTGATGCGCTATATCTTAAATTTTCTCCGCAACCACTGGGTTTCAAGACCTGTCCTTTTGCCAGCTTGTTGGCCTCATCACAAGCTTCCAAACAAGGTATAGTTTGTGCAGAACTTTCCAGGTTAAGGTACCTTTAGACCGCCATATACGAAGTTCGTGTCGCGGGCGCTTGCAGGCATTGCTGTTAGACTGACTGCACATAGGGGTACTACTGGCATTGATGCGCTATATCTTAAATTTTCACCGCAACCACTTGGTTTCAAGACCTGTCCTTTTGCCAGCTTGTTAACCTCATCACAAGCTTCCGAACAAGGTATAGTTTGTGCAGAACTTAACAGGTTAAGGTACCTTTAGACCGCCATATACGAAGTTCGTGTCGCGGGCGCTTGCAGGCATTGCTGTTAGACTGACTGCACATAGGGGTACTACTGGAATTGATGCGCTATATCTTAAATTTTCTCCGCCACCACTTGGTTTCAAGACGTGTCCTTTCGCCAGCTTGTTGGCCTTATCACAAGCTTCTGAACAAGGTATAGTTTGTGCAGAACTTCCCAGGTTAAGGTACCTTTAGACCGCGATAAACGAAGTTCGTGTCGCTGGCGCTTGCAGGCATTGCTGTTAGACTGACTGCACATAGGGGTACTACTGGCATTGATGCGCTATATCTTGAATTTTCTCCTCAACCACTTGGTTTAAAGACCTGCCCATTTGCCAGCTTGTTGGCCTCATCATTAGCTTCCGAACAAGGTATAGTTCGTGCAGAACTTCCCAGGTTAAGGTACCTTTAGACGGCGATATGCGAAGTTCGAGTCGCGGGCACTTGCAGGCATTGCTGTTAGACTGACTGCACATAGGGGTACTACTGGCATTGATGCGCTATATCTTGAATTGTCTCCGCAACCACTTTGTTTCAAGGTTATAGTGCCTTTTGCCAGCTTGTTAGCCTCATCACAAGCTTCTGAACAAGGTATAGTTTGTGATGAAATTGAAAGTTTAAGGTAACTTTACACCGCGATATACGAAGTTCGTGTCGCGGTCGCTTGCATACAACTGATCACAAACGGCTCGCTCTAAGATCTTACCTACAATTGGCAAGATAGAAATGGGACGATAGTTACCTACATCAGAGGTATTGCCAGATTTAAAGATTGGTACCACTTTGGCACTCTTCAATCCTTCGGGAACATGTCCATGCATCAAGGACATATTTATGATTTTGGTTAAGGAACGAAGGATGGCAGGGCAAGCAACTTTTAGTAAACGACAGCTGTGTTGATCATCCCCTGTAGCTTTGTTAACATTCATAGTCAGGAGAGTTTTTTCAACAAAAGCAGGCGAGACCGGCCTGAGATTAAAAACACAATCGTTACCACCTGATACATCGGTGAACACAGTAGGTGTTGTGACAGGCAAGTCTTTTGTGACGTTTTGCGCACAAGTTACAAAATAATCATTAAATGCATTAGCAATCTGATCACTGTCACTGCAGTCTGATCCATTGACCTCAATCGAACTGGGGAGAATACGGCCTTGCTTCGGGGTTACTTCTTTAAGGCAACTCCAGATCTTTTTGCTGTTACCAGCATTATCACGGATCAGACCACAGTAATGATCAGTCTTTTGCTTCTGCATCATGTGTGTTACTTTATTACGTAAACATCTATACTCATTCCATAAATTCTGACAATTATGTTTGACGGCAGCCTTATGGATCTGATCACGTTCTTTCATCAGCTTAACAATGTCGTCTGTGATCCAAGGACAAGCATTTTGCCTAATTTTCTTTTTACAGAGTGGAGCATGCAGGTTCACAATTTCCATAAAACTATTTAACCAGGTTTGCCAGGCTAGTTCAATGTCAGTTATGTTAACAATAGCATTCCAAGGTACATTTTCCAAATCATGAATAAAATCTTGGACAATCATCTTCTTGAATGGTCTATACTCAATATAATTATGACCTTGTTGAGTGGATGATTTAAAATTAAAACAACGAACTGAATAAGTTAAAAAATGATCACTTATACTAGTACAAAATACACCATTATCAGTAAAAACATCTGGATTATTTACAAATATTAAGTCGATGAGAGTGTTGCTATGACTGGTGACCCTTGTAGGGCTGGTGATCACTTGAGCAAATCCATATAGAGAAGTATAAAATTTCAAGTTATCAGTATTGATATTAGTGACACCATCCATAAAATTACAGTTAAAATCACCCAATAAAATGCACTCCTTTTTTTCAGTTGAGGCGGTTGCTAAGACTTCATCTATTTTATCAAAGAAATCAATACCCGTGCTCGGTGGCCTATAAAATGCACCAACAAGGATAGGCGATTTATATTTGTTATACTTCACTTCAACCCACACACTTTCAAGAGCCGCAGACTCAAGATTATGTCGCCTGGTAACCTGGACATCATTTGATACATAAATAGCTACACCGCCACCATGTCTAGTTCTGTCACTTCTTAGTATGGAGAAACCGTCAATACATAACTCCTCATCCGAGATACTAGAGTCACACAGCGTTTCGTTCAGACATATAACATCGAAAGGTCTATGCTTCAGCAAGAGACGAAGTTCGTCTATCTTACTGACAAGGCTATGAATGTTAAGATGACCACATTTAATACCTTTTGTTTTAATGGGAGGGATACTGCCTTCAACCAGTTCATTGTAGCTATATTGCAAACCTTGTGTTGAGTAGTTCACGGACGATTGTTCACTGACGATTTCTTCACGAACAGACGATTCTTTCTCTGGTACTGGAACCACTCGGCTTCCTGAGATGGCAATGGACGACGACGAATCAGGGGACAAAGGGGCTGCACATGTTGACTCGGAGTCAGATGCCTTTTCCGTGTTTTCCAGTCCTCGTGATGGAAATCCTGATATCTATGTACAGGAACGTCACTGCTTGAGCCAGGCCTGGTACTGACAGCCTGGGCATAGGTGGGAGGTGGTTGGCCATCTCGGTGCTGAAGTGTAGACGAAGTTCTACATGATGGAACCAGTGAATTCGAACGTCCGCAATGGCGTATAGGTCTATCATTGTCAATCAGCTCATTGTAATACTGATCAATTACTTCCTCTGGTGTGGGCTCTTCGGAGTCGACTCCAGCTTGATCTGTCAGTGCAGTGAAGCGATTTGTCAAAGGAACAATAGGTGTTGCTGTCACTTCGGAAATACTTGGATGTACCATCTGTGTTTGGCTTTTGTGATTTGTGGGAGTCCGTAGTTGAGGTTGCTGACGTTTTGTTGATATGTCTTTGTCGATGGTTGAAGAAGACGATGCGGTTGCTATGGAACAGTTTTGCTGTGGCGATTTTTTGCTTGTTAGCAAATCAATGGCGGTTTGCAAGCTTTTACGTTCACTCTCCAGTGCCTGAATCTGTGATTTTAGATCGAGGTTTTCATTAAGTTCAACTCTCATTGATCTCACTTCATTTCTTAATTCGTCAATAGAGAATCTTAAGTCCCGTATTTCAGAGTTGAAGGGAATTTCCTGGGTAACCTTATTGGTTGCAGTTTTGGTTTGGGGGGTACAAGTTTTGTCACTGTTCCCTGCATCCGTAGTAGCTTGCCTAGTTGTAGATTCCATCTTGGTTGTTTTTAGTTTAGAGGAAGACAAGCAGGCTTTGGGAAACTTGCTATGGTCATCAGTTAGGTAGAGATATAATTCCAGGATATCGTCAGAGACAGCCTCTACCGAGCGTCTTGATTTTAATATCAACTGATCGCTGGTACCCATACCTTGCGTACTGTTCTGTACGTCGCCATGTTGTATTCTTTCGGTGTGCTTGGTTATTGCAAACTGAAACAGACTCTTCCTTGCTTCATCCAGAATATCCAGGTTTATATCTTGTTGCATCTGTTGCCTCAGATCAACATGTGGCGTTACTCTGCTTTTTAGAAGAATCTGATGCAGATCTGAATCGATATTTTCGGAGAATGTGGGAGCGATATTCTCTGTAGTTGCACCAGTTGCCGCTATCTTGAATTGTCTCCGCAACCACTTTGTTTCAAGGTTAAGATACCTTTTGCCAGCTTGTTGGCCTTATCACAAGCTTCCGAACAAGGTATAGTTTGTGCCGAACTTTTCAGGTTAAGATACCTTTAGACCGCGATATACGAAGTTCGTGTCGCGGGCGCTTGCAGGCATTGCTTTTAGACTGACTGCACATAGGGGTACTACTGGCATTGATGCGCTATATCTTGAGTTTTCTCCGCCACCACTGTGTTTCAATTCCTGTCCTTTTGCCAGCTTGTTGGCCTTATCACAAGCTTTCGAACAAGGTATAGTTTGTGCAGAACTTCCAGGTTAAGGTACCTTTAGACCGCGATATACGAAGTTTGTGTCCCGGGCGCATGCAGGCATTGCTGTTAGTCTGATTGCATATAAGGGTACTACTGGCATTGATGCGCTATATCTTAAATTTTCTCCGCAACCACTGGGTTTCAAGACCTGTCCTTTTGCCAGCTTGTTGGCCTTATCACAAGCTTCCGAACAAGGTATAGTTTGTGCAGAACTTCCAAGGGGACCTTTAGACCGCCATATACGAATTTCGTGTCGCGGGCGCTTGCAGGCATTGCTGTTAGACTGACTGCACACAGGGGTAATACTGGCATTGACGCGCTATATCTTAAATTTTCACCGCAACCACTTGGTTTCAAGACCTGTTCTTTTGCCAGCTTGTTGGCCTCATCACAAGCTTCCGAACAAGGTATAGTTTGTGCAGAACTTCCAGGTTAAGGTACCTTTCGACCGCGATATACGAAGTTTGTGTCCCGGGCGCATGCAGGCATTGCTGTTAGGCTGATTGCATATAAGGGTACTACTGGCATTGATGCGCTATATCTTAAATTTTCTCCGTTACCACTGGGTTTCAAGACCTGTCCTTTTGCCAGCTTGTTGGCCTCATCAAAAGCTTCAAACAAGGTATAGTTTGTGCAGAACTTTCCAGGTTAAGGTACCTTTAGACCGCCATATACGAAGTTCGTGTCGCGGGCGCTTGCAGGCATTGCTGTTAGACTGACTGCACATAGGGGTACTACTGGCATTGATGCGCTATATCTTAAATTTTCACCGCAACCACTTGGTTTCAAGACCTGTCCTTTTGCCAGCTTGTTAACCTCATCACAAGCTTCCGAACAAGGTATAGTTTGTGCAGAACTTCCAGGTTAAGAGACCTTTAGACGGCGATATGCGAAGTTCGTGTCGCGGGCACTTGCAGGCATTGCTGTTAGACTGACTGCACATAGGGGTACTACTGGCATTGATGCGCTATATCTTGAATTGTCTCCGCAACCACTTTGTTTCAAGGTTATAGTGCCTTTTGCCAGCTTGTTGGCCTCATCACAAGCTTCTGAACAAGGTATAGTTTGTGATGAAATTGCAAGTTTAAGGTACCTTTACACCGCGATATACGAAGTTCGTGTCGCGGGCGCTTGCAGGCATTGCTGTTGGACTGACTGCACATAGGGGTACTACTGGCATTGATGCGCTATATCTTGAATTGTCTCCGCAACCACTTTGTTTCAAGGTTAAGGTACCTTTTGCCAGCTTGTTGGCCTCATCACAAGCTTCCGAACAAGGTATAGTTTGTGCCGAACTTTTCAGGTTAAGATACCTTTAGACCGCGATATACGAAGTTCGTGTCGCGGGCGCTTGCAGGCATTGCTTTTAGACTGACTTCACATAGGGGTACTACTGGCATTGATGCGCTATATCTTGAGTTTTCTCCGCCACCACTGGGTTTCAATTCCTGTCCTTTTGCCAGCTTGTTGGCCTGATCACAAGCTTTCGAACAAGGTATAGTTTGTGCAGAACTTCTAAGGGGACCTTTAGACCGCCATATACGAATTTCGTGTCGCGGGCGCTTGCAGGCATTGCTGTTAGACTGACTGCACATAGGGGTAATACTGGCATTGACGCGCTAAATCTTAAATTTTCACCGCAACCACTGGGTTTCAAGACCTGTTCTTTTGCCAGCTTGTTGGCCTCATCACAAGCTTCCGAACAAGGTATAGTTTGTGCAGAACTTCCAGGTTAAGGTACCTTTCGACCGCGATATACGAAGTTTGTGTCCCGGGCGCATGCAGGCATTGCTGTTAGACTGATTGCATATAAGGGTACTACTGTCATTGATGCGCTATATCTTACATTTCCTCCCCAACCACTGGGTTTCAAGACCTGTCCTTTTGCCAGCTTGTTGGCCTCATCACAAGCTTCCGAACAAGGTATAGTTTGTGCAGAACTTCCCAGGTTAAGGTACCTTTAGACCGCCATATACGAATTTCGTGTCGCGGGCGCTTGCAGGCATTGCTGTTAGACTGACTGCACATAGGGGTACTACTGGCATTGATGCGCTATATCTTAAATTTTCACCGCAACCACTGGGTTTCAAGACCTGTCCTTTTGCCAGCTTGTTAACCTTATCACAAGCTTCCGAACAAGGTATAGTTTGTGCAGAACTTCCAGGTTAATGTACCTTTAGACCGCAATATACGAAGTTTGTGTCGCGGGCGCTTGCAGGCATTGCTGTTAGACTGACTGCATATAAGGGTACTACTGGCATTGATGCGCTATATCTTAAATTTTCACCGCAACCACTAGGTTTCAAGACCTGTCCTTTTTCCAGCTTGTTGGCCTTATCACAAGCTTCCGAACAAGGTATAGTTTGTGCAGAACTTCCCAGGTGAAGGTACCTTTAGACGGCGATATCCGAAATTCGTGTCGCGGGCTCTTGCAGGCATTGCTGTTAGACTGACTGCACATAGGGGTACTACTCGCATTGATGCGCTATATCTTGATTTTTCTCCGCAACCACTGGGTTTCAAGACCTGTCCTTTTGCCAGCTTGTTGGCCTCATCACAAGCTTCCGAACAAGGTATAGTTTGTGCAAAACTTCCAAGGGGACCTTAGACCGCCATATACGAATTTCGTGTCGCGGGCGCTTGCAGGCATTGCTGTTAGACTGACTGCATATAAGGGTACTACTGGCATTGATGCGCTATATCTTAAATTTTCACCGCAACCACTAGGTTTCAAGACCTGTCCTTTTTCCAGCTTGTTGGCCTTATCACAAGCTTCCGAACAAGGTATAGTTTGTGCAGAACTTCCCAGGTGAAGGTACCTTTAGACGGCGATATCCGAAATTCGTGTCGCGGGCTCTTGCAGGCATTGCTGTTAGACTGACTGCACATAGGGGTACTACTCGCATTGATGCGCTATATCTTGATTTTTCTCCGCAACCACTGGGTTTCAAGACCTGTCCTTTTGCCAGCTTGTTGGCCTCATCACAAGCTTCCGAACAAGGTATAGTTTGTGCAAAACTTCCAAGGGGACCTTAGACCGCCATATACGAATTTCGTGTCGCGGGCGCTTGCAGGCATTGCTGTTAGACTGACTGCACATAGGGGTACTACTGGCATTGATGCGCTATATCTTAAATTTTCACCGCAACCACTGGGTTTCAAGACCTGTTCCTTTGCCAGCTTGTTGGCCTTATCACAAGCTTCCGAACAAGGTATAGTTTGTGCAGAACTTCCAGGTTAAGGTACCTTTAGACCGCGATATACGAAGTTTGTGTCCCGGGCGCATGCAGGCATTGCCGTTAGACTGATTGCATATAGGGGTACTACTGGCATTGATGCGCTATATCTTGAATTGTCTCCGCAACCACTTTGTTTCAAGGTAAAGGTACCTTTTGCCAGCTTGTTGACCTTATCACAAGCTTCCGAACAAGGTATAGTTTGTGCTGAACTTCCCAGGTTAAGATACCTTTAGACCGCGATATACAAAGTTCGTGTCGCGGGCGCATGTAGGCATTGCTTTTAGACTGACTGCACATAGGGGTACTACTTGCATTGATGCGCTTTATCTTGAGTTTACTCCGCCACCACTGGGTTTCAAGTCCTGTCCTTTTGCCAGCTTGTTGGCCTCATCACAAGCTTTCGAACAAGGTATAGTTTGTGCAGAACTTCTCTGATTGGGGTACCTTTATACGGCGATATGCGAAGTTCGTTTGGCGGGCTCTTGCAGGCATTGCTGTTAGACTGACTGCACATAGGGGTACTACTCGCATTGATGCGCTATATCTTAATTTTTCTCCGCAACCACTGGGTTTCAAGACCTGTCCTTTTGCCAGCTTGTTGGCCTCATCACAATCTTCCGAAAAAGGTATAGTTTGTGCAGAACTTCCAAGGGAACCTTTAGACCGTGATATACGAAGTTCGTGTCGCGGGCGCTTTCAGGCATTGCTGTTAGACTGACTGCACAAAGGGGTACTACTGGCATTGATGCTCTATATCTTAAATTTGCACCGCAACCACTGGATTTCAAGACTTGTTCTTTTGCCAGCTTGTTGGTCTCATCACAAGCTTCCGAACAAGGTATAGTTTGTGCAGAACTTCCAGGTTAAGATACCTTTAGACCGCGATATACAAAGTTCGTGTCGCGGGCGCATGCAGGCATTGCTTTTAGACTGACTGCACATAGGGGTACTACTTGCATTGATGCGCTTTATCTTGAGTTTACTCCGCCACCACTGGGATTCAAGTCCTGTCCTTTTGCTAGCTTGTTGGCCTTATCACAAGCTTTCGAACAAGGTATAGTTTGTGCAGAACTTCTCTGATTGGGGTACCTTTATACGGCGATATGCGAAGTTCGTGTCGCGGGCGCATGCAGGCATTGCTGTTAGACTGATTGCATATAAGGGTACTACTGGCATTGATGCGCTATATCTTGAATTTTCTCCGCAACCACTGGGTTTCAAGACCTGTCCTTTTGCCAGCTTGTTGGCCTCATCACAAGCTTCCGAAAAAGGTATAGTTTGTGCAGAACTTCCAAGGCGACCTTTAGACCGTGAT